CATCTATCAATCTATTATCTATCATTATCCAACCATCCATCCATCATCTGTCTGTCTATCTATCTATCTGTTATCTATCAATCTATTATCTGTCATTATCCAACCATCCATCATCTGTCTGTCTATCTATCAATAATCTATCAATCTATCATCTATCATTATCTATCCATCTATCAATCTATCTATCCATCATCTATCTACCTATCATCTATCTATCTTCTATTTACCTATTATCATTATCTATCCATCCATCCATCAGCTACCATCTATCAGTCAGTCAATCAATCAATCAATCTATCAATCTATCTATCTATCTATCTGTCTGACTGTCTGTCTATTTATCTATTATCTATCATTATCTATCCATCCATCCATCCATCATCTATCTATCAATCTCTCATATATCTATCTATCCATCCAGCATCTATCATCTATCCATCCATCTAGCTATCCACCCATCCACAAGACTTAACACATTGAATACAAATACCATTTGCATTTCACAAGTGGAGGGGAAAAAATTTAAATGAATCAATAAACGTGGCTAGTGAAGAATTATTACCAAATGCCATCCAGAAGCTACACTGTTCTTACCTTTTTGCTTTCCCTCCACTTCTTGGTTTATTATCTGCTGTGGAAGAGGAGAAAGACAGCAGTTAAAAAAGAGGAAGAAGGAAATATTACTTTGAACAGAAGCAAAGATGTTCTCGAGTTTGTGTCATGCTCTGGTTTGCTATCTGTTTGTGGTGGGAGGTCCGGCTTCTTGAACTCAATGCCCACTGCTACACATACCTACAGGGATTTAGAAGGAAAAGAACAAACTTTATTCCAGGTGAACATTCCAAGAAACCTGGGCTGTAGGCAGTAAAAATCTAGAAAGAACCTGCTGGGCAGTTACCTTGCTCGAAGCAAAGACACAAATGCCAGGGAAGTGACAGGAAAGGAGTTCAATTAAATCCTTGTTTCCCAAACTTTAGCACATGTGGACTTCGAGTCCCAGAATTCCACAATCAGCACAGCCGTTGCTAAGAATCCCGCCAGTTGAAGTCCACACAACTTATAATGGGGAATGTTTGATTAGATGAACTCCTTTTGGTCCCTTGCAAACCTTGATGCCATGATTCTATTAAAGCTTGCTCCAGTTGGGTGCAGTACGTCAGCAGAGCAGCCCTGACAAAAATAGGACCTGCTCAGTTTTCTCCTTGCATTGGATAAAAAAAGGTTTGCATCCAAGCTTGGTAGTGATGGGAACCAGTCTGGTCTAGCAGTGAAGGTGATGGCCTGGGCCAATAGATGGTGAGTTCTGCCTTAGACATGAAAGCTGGCTGGATGACTCGATCCTAGGAGCCTGTGAGTTCTAGTCCTGCATTAGGCATGAAAGTCAATTGGGTGAGTCTATCATCAGGAGCCTGTGAGTTCTAGTCCTGCCTTAGATATGAAAACCAGCTGGATGACTTTGGGTTGAACACCCTATGAGTTCTAGTCCTGCATTAAGCATGAAAGCCAGCTGGGTGACTTTGAGTCCATCACCAGGAGGATGTGAGTTCTAGTTCTGCCTTAAGACATGAAAGCTGGCTGGGTGACTTTAGGTCGATCATAGGAGCCTGTGTGTTGTAGTATGACATTGGGAATGAAAACCAGTTGGGTGACTTTGGACCAATCATCAGGAGACTGTATCTTCTAATCTCCCCTTAGGCGTGAAAACTGACTGGGTGACTTGGGGCAATCACTCTCTCTCTCTCTCTCTCTCTCAGTCCAACCAACCTCACAGGGTGGCAAAAAATGGAGGAGGAAGGGAGTATGTACATTCACTGCCTTGAGTTACTTATAAAGTGATAAAGGTGGGATAAAAATCAAATAGATAACTAAAATGAGTTCCACTAAAGAAGCCACACCCCATATAAGTTTCTGCTCCACCATGTGGTGGACTCAAGGTCCATCCCACCCCTGAAAGGACCTAATGGTAAAGACTGCAACAACGACACCATTAAAGCCAACCTCTTTAACACATTCTTTGGCTCAGTATGTGTAAATAGCAATGGACCATGCCCAGTATTTCCTAGTCAAACCACAGAAAACTACAATGATCTAATACATATCGATTTTACAGAAGACAATGTTGAAAAAGCACTACACAATCTAAAACCATCTCTATCTATTCAACCGGATGGAATATGTGCCTACTTCTTTAAAAAGCTATCCACTGCCATAGCTGAACCTCCAAGCATAATCTTTGAAAAATCTTTCAGGACCAGCTCCTTGCCAAAACTATGGTCACAAGCCACGGTCACCCCCATCTTCAAAAAGGGAGACCCCAGCCTAGTTGAAAATTACAGACCAATCTCCTTATGCTGCGTCACCTGTAAAGTCATGGAATCAATTATTAACCAATCCATTATCCTCCACTTAGAGACAAACAACCAACTCTCTAATAAACAATGTGGTTTCAGGAAAAAAACTATCCTGTAATCTGCAACTCTTACACTGCAAAAACATATGGACTACACAACTTGACCAGGGCAAAGCAATAGACGCAATCTACATAGACTTCTGTAAAGCTTTTGATTCAGTGGTACATGACAAACTACTCCTAAAACTAAAATCTTATGGTATCTTTGGACACCTATATAACTGGATAGAAGCATTCCTGTCAAACAGACAACAAATGGTCAAAATTGGGAGTGTCCTATCAAATTCTGTACCTGTCAACAGTGGTGTCCCCCAAGGCAGTGTTCTAGGACCAGCTCTCTTCATACTCTACATAACTGACTTCTGTGATTATATCAAGAGCAACTGCGTTCTTTTCGCTCATGATGTAAAGCTATTCAACACCACAGACAATACTACTACCTCCAAAAAGACCTTGACTATGTATCAGAATGGTCAAACAAATGGCAACTTCAAATCTCAACAAATAAATGCTCTGTCTTACATATTGGCAAAAAAAAATAAAATACAATATAAAAAAATAATATAAAATACAAGCTAAATAGTCAAGACCTTGTTGATGATCCAAACTCTGTCAAGGACCTTGGAGTACTCATCTCTAATGATCTAAGTGCTAGAGCCCACTGTCACTACATAGCCAAAAAGGCGTTGTTGTTAATCTAATCCTACGTAGCTTCTTCTCTGGTAATATCACACTACTAACTAGAGCATACAAAACATTTGCTAGACCAATACTCGAATACAGCTCATCAGTCTGGAACCCGCATTACGTATCTGATATTAACACAGTTGAGAAAGTCCAGAAATATTTCACAAGAAAAGTTCTCCACTCCTCTACTCATTTGCAGAATACCTTATGCCTCCAGACTTGAAACTCTAGACCTAGAAAACCTAGACTACGCCGCCTTCGGTCCAATCTAAATATAGTATATAAAATCATACATTGCAATGTCCTACCTGCAAATGAATACTTTAGCTTAAATCATAACAATACAAGAGCGCACAATAGATACAAACTCAAGATTAACCGCACCAAAATTGATTGCAGAAAATATGACTTCAGCAACAGAGTGGTCAATGTCTGGAATACTCTACCTGACTCTATAGTTTCTTCCCCAAACCCCAAAAACTTTAACCTTAGACTGTCTACTATTGACCTCACCCCTTTCCTAAGAGGCCTGCAGGGGTTGTGCATAAGCGCACCAATTGTGCCTACTGTCCCTGTCCTATTGTTTCTTTTTTTTTTATTCATATCCATTTCATGTGTTCATAATCATGCTTATACTTATACTTGTATCTTGTAAGTGATTGACAAATCAAATAAATAAATAAATGTGGAAGGGCCAATATGCCAGAGTGGCAAACCATTGTTTACTCTTTAACAGAGTTCCTTCGGAGGTGGAGGTTCTGTATTAGTGGCAGAGACAACTTTTAAAAAGTTCTGTCTGAGCAACGCAACGTACTGGAGTCAACAACTTTCTTGGTAATCTTGGGGTACTTTTGGAACTTGACGTAGTAGTAGCTTTCATATTCCATCAAAATGGTCTCCAGATCGACGTTGTCGCACACTTCAAAGCGGCACAGCCCAAATTTCGTTTCTTGTTCCAGTGCGTTAGCAGCATCTACGTACCTGGGAGTGACAGATTTAGAAAGTTTCAGTGTATGAGTAGAATAGTAGCTTGAGAATGGTAGTCATTTATGACACGAGTGTTATACAGGGGGAGGGAATAGGACAAAATATAAAATACGATCAGGATCGCCATTCAGGAATCGATTATTTCTGAATTTTTTTTCCGTATGCGGAGTTGGATTTCAACACCTATCGTGCTGAGTCACATTGGCTGGGACTGATGGGAGCTCTAGTAGGGAAGAAAGCTGAACTTCATTATCAGAGACCCTGCGAAGTTCGCTTATTATGGCAACAATCACAAGTTTTAGTCATCTGTATCTTGTAAAGCCAATGAATGCTTACCCTTCTTCCGTTAAATAATGTAAAATCAAAATAAGGAGATTTTTGCGCCGGGCTTCTGTTCGTGTGTGTTCCTACAAAAAAGAAAAGAAAAAGAAAATCATAAAAAGATATAACTCCGTAAAGCATGCATTAATGACTTTGCATTCACTTTTTTTGAATCAGCTTTCCTGATGGAAACAAGAGTTTCTTAGGAACTGGAGCACCACCTAGTGGCTCTAAATGGAAATGCTCTTTTTTATTATTATTCAATGCCTTTTAGAAAATTAGTGTTTTAATTCTCGGAAAGTTGGAAGAAAGAGGTCAGCTGGAAGCAAGGTGGATAAAGTTTAACTCAACTGCAGCAGCAATGGGTGCATCATTGGAAGATATGAAGGGCCAGGCTGGGGACAGAGCTATTCCAGATTGACTTGATGGCACATCAATCTAGCAATCATAAACTAAATTTCTCACTCATAATTTTTCGGGTTTATCTCAGCAGCTGAGGGTTAGAAGGGAAGAAAGGGGGGGGGGGGTTATAGAGTAATCCTCGAGTTACGAGCACAACTGAACCCAACATTCATGCTGCTAAGTGTAACCTTTGTTAGGTGAGTTTGTCCCATTTTACGATGTTTCTTGCCACTCTTGTTAAGTGAATCATCGCATTTGTTAAGATAATAACACGGTTGTTAAATGAATCTGGTTTCCCCACTGACTTTGCTTGTCAGAAGGTTGCAAAAGGGGATCATGTGGCCCCGGAGACACTACAACCATCATAAATATGAACCACTTGCCAAGCATTGAATTTTGGTCACGTGAGCCCAAGGACGCTGCAACGGTCCTAGGAGTGAAAAATGGTGGTAAGTCACTTTTTCCAGTGCCGCTGTAACTTTAAATTTTGCAGCGATAATTCAGCGCCAGAAAAATAAACACAGAAGGCTGATGCTTCATTTAACATCTTTATAAACATAATAAGTAGATTTTACAAACCAGTTGTAGATTTCTCCAACATAGAGCAAACTCAAACAGAAACACGTTGCAAGTAATTCTCAGCGGAGCAGACAACAGCTTCACTTTAGTTCAGCAGGCAAGCAAGAGGAAACAGTTTCACCTTCAATAGACAGACTCAGTGCTCAACAGAGCTGCTGAGCTTAATTGTTGTGGTTAGCCGGCAGCAGGTGCGGATGGCCGAGGAGAGCGAGGACTCAGATGAGGGGCCAGGACCATAAGGGAGTGGACTGCTGCCTTCAGAGATTGTGGGGGCTGACAGCAGCGATGAGGAGGTTCCCGAGGAGCCTGTGCCAAGTGCGCATGCACGCAGGGCTGCTTGTAGGAAAGAGCAGTTACAACAGCACGGGCGACCCGAGAGTAAGGCTGCAAGGTAATAGCCTCTCTTTCAAGAAGATAAAAGCTAGCTGTGAAACGAACGTACTTTGCAGAAGGCAAAGACGTTTTGAAACTCCAGCCTCGTGGACATTCTAGTATCCTGAGTTTGTATTTGAAGATTCTTGTATTGCAAATTATTTCTTGTCTGTTATCTTTTGGCAAGCCTCGCACAGTTTGGCGAGGCTTGTGCTTATAACAGGTAATTATTTTGTAAAAGCATTACAAGGTTTCTGTTCTTTTTGGATTGTATTTGATTTGTCGGAAAAGGGTGTGGGTCAGAACATTAATATAGAGCCACGCTTAAGCTACTTCTAGCTTCAGTTTCCAAAACAGTCCTCATTGGCTGACTTAGTTGTTATGCCTATTCATTGGCTGACCTCGCTACCATGCTCTATTCCAGTTGATGAATATACTCTGACACTTTGAATGGTCACTAAATGAACTGTTGTTAAGTCAAGGACTACCTGGATTTTAAGGAGCTCTCAAGGATCACAGGGACTTTATTAAGCTAAAATCCTAATAAGGTAAGGAGGAAAATGAAGCTAAACCCTGAAAATTCAGAAGATTTCCTGAATCGAGATCATTACTTTCTGGATCAAGCAAACTTTCTGGAGCCACATCGCAACCGTCTCTCCTGTGAAGCCTGTGTCCCTTGCCAGTGTTGAACCTGTATGCCCTCCCATCTCTTATCTAGTTTTATACCACATCCTTCCCTCCGTATATTAAGACGATGCTGCCATGGTTTGTAAATTGCAACGTATTTTGAGAATTTAGGAAGCCATTTTGCAGACAATACAAATAGTCCTTGACATACAAACCTAGAGAAGCCTGCCCGATACAGTTGTAGGTCATTGTGGTCATAAAAGGGGTCGGTCACATGACTGAGTTTTATCATAGTTTTTCATGGCAGTCATTAAGCGAACACGCAGTCCTTAAGCAAGCCAATGATTTACTATGGGCACATGCTAAAAACCGGAAACGCCGGTTTTCAGCGAAACATCATAGAATGTGGTCACATGATCGCAGGGGGTTGCAAATAGTCACACATGTGGAAGTGTTGCTCAGTGCCTGGAGTTTGGTCACGTGACTGCAGAGGGTGCCCATTGGAACTTCGATTCTGGGTTGTGTCTCCTTTTCAGGTTGGTTGCAAATTTGAACCGTTGTTAAGTGACCGGTTGAAACTCAAGGACTACCTATATGGCACACGCTATCCAAACCATGTTAACAAATGAGTACGCTGCATGTTATCCTTAGTGAAGCGTGCAAACCAGCACCTGCATTTTCTGCATTCGGACGAGGAAAGCACGCATCTTTCTCCTTCTGTCCTGGCCACTTTTTACAGAGGCAGGATCGAGGGCATTTTAACAAATTGCATCCATGTTTGGTTTGGTGGCAGCAGTGCCTCCAATAGAAAGTCCCTACAGAGAGTGGTGAGGACAGTGGAGATTACAAGAAGCTCACTTCCTGTTATTCAGGATGCTGCTTATAAGTGCTATGTGCTTAGAGTTCGAAGCATTGTTAGAGACCCCACATACCCACTTTGTGGTCTGTTTCTGTTGCTCCCCTCTGGGAGGAGGGTTTCGAAGTATTTCTAGCAGGACTTCCAGATTCTGTAACAGCTTTGTTCCCTATGCAATCTGTCTGGTAAATTCGCAAGGTTTGTTTTTCTCGCCATATACACGTATACATCTGAGCTAGACCGTGATGTTTCTCTGTGTCATATCGTATATGTGGGTATATGCAGAATGGTTATCTTTTGAGAGCTGAATGCGACGAACTTTTATTTTAATGTACACTGATTACTAGCGCACATTTAAAGTGACAATAAAGTTTTTATTCTATATTATGGGATACTAGCAGGAGTCAGGGAACTGACTGATTGGAAAATGAATACCACAACTGCGAGATTATTTCCAATATCACTTGTTCAGCAGTGAGGTTCACGCTGGAAGAAGTTTAGCAAACTATATGAGAAGGGCCTGCTGGGGCATTTCTGTTCCTTCTGTTTTAATTGGTTTCCCTCTTGGTTCTACTACATCCATCAGCTTTTTCCCCCTAAATTTCGGTCCCCGATACTCTATAACGTATTGTTCATGTTCTCAGATGAAACAAGCCACATTACAAACACGCATCTGCATTTGAGAGTGAAGTGTGCAATCAACAAACATCCATGTGGATTTTTACATTCTACATAATTTGTCCCAACCACAAGATTAATTCTTTATCAAATAAACAACAACCAGAATTAATATGAGCCTTTGAGCTGCTAAAAATAAACGGTTACTATAGAAGCCGTAGAACTTGTACATGCATAAAAGAACCGAAACCCTTAAAGAACAAAACCTTAGTTAAAATTCAGTTTAGGTTTATACTGATTTACTCTTGCTCCTTTAATTGCTGTGCGGAATGCCACCATGTTTACAGCTATTGGTATTTCAATAGAGGTTTAAGTGTTTAAAGTTTAATAAGCTCCCAGTCCTAGAATGAAAAAAATGGGTGTAATTAAAATTTCAATTACTGTAAGAGATTTTTGGTCCATACGATTAATAAAAGCTTAAGGCACTTAAACAGGAACTGGTTTTAAATGCTAAAAGCGTTTCCCTAATTAGCTTTAATGCTTACAGAGCACACATTATTCATTTCTTAAAATGCCACACATTGTTTCCCTTTGCAGCTGCCAGTCGATGAATTAGGGTGCAATCAAGATTTAGCCATACAATCAGATAAATTTCGTCCAGCCTTTTTTTTTTTCCTTTCCCTCTTCTTAAATGGTGCGGAGATTGTTCCTCCAATTTTAATAGTCCGGGCCTAGTTTGTTCAGCGTTTATCATGGACGTTCTGGTGCCTCTTTTCCATCTTCAAGAAGGCACACGAGCGCTATTAAAAACCCGATTCCTGAATTGAAATGAAAATAAAGTGGGTTCAATGCATGTGTGTCAAACCCTTCAGAAAAATGTTATGACGGTATTCTATAAAAGCCACCTTCTCTAGCAGGGCCTGATAACAGAATAACAGAGTGGGAAGGGACCTCAGAGGTCTTCTAGTCCACTGCTCAAGCAGGAAACGCTAAGCCATTTCAGACAAATGGGTGTTGTCATGCCCCTGTTAGAATCTGATTCCGAGGGAGAGGAGAAACAGCCGACAGGGAGTGGGAGTATGGCTCCGGAGGTTGTGGAGGAAACTGGGGAAAGGCACAGGCCGGCTGGGCAGTCGGAGGAAGACCCAGGCCCATCCCCTCTTCATCCTAGGGACGCAGGGAGGAGCGGATAAGGGAGAAACATGGAGGGCATGGTCTACGGGGGAGGAAAGGGCCCTGATCCCCTTCATGGGCTGCAGCTGGGAGGACTGTTTAAAAGGACAAACTGCACATGGCCAAGTGCTGGAAGCAAAGCATGGAATAATTATAGTCTGTCAGTTCTTCACTGAGTTCTGGCATCCTTCCCAGTGTGTGTATGTCAATATCTGGGGACATCTTCAAGCCCTTATACTGCCTTGTCTTATTAAGTGCTTCAGTGTGGTTTGTGTTGTTGTTGTTTTTCTGTTTATAATTTATATGCATTTTGAGTTTGAATGGAATTTCTTCCTTTTGGTAACTGTTGGTGGGGGAGTTTTTTTTCTCCAGTCAATGATAATTGGTCCTTGGAGGCCAAGTTGAAGGAATTAAAGGGACTTCACCTATTTTTGTGATTTTGTTGCTTTTGTA